ATACTTTTGCAACAGTACACCTGTCTAAGAATAATAAAAGGCGGGTCACTATTAATAATTTGCGCCAAACGCCACGAGTAAATATTCGCGCATTTTCTTTGAACTTATCTATTTAATTGGTGTGATAGCTGCAATGAAATAAAATAAATAAAACGTTCTTATCGCCTTTATTTTATTTCGACGTTTAAAAAGTCTTTGTACACATTACATATATCGTATCTAGCCCAGTTACACTTAAGTAGTGAAACGGAAATTAAGTGTTAAGATTGACACTGAATTGCAACGTACTACTACGTGAAAGTCCAAGTAGTTTTGTTTACATTTCATGCATTCGTATGTCAGAATGGTTTAATCAAACGCTCAGCTGCCTCCATAAACCCCAATTGCGAAATGGCGCAATTGACAAAGACAGCCGCCATCTGGGGCCCGCTTCAGATTTTCAAATATTAATATCTAGAATTCAGATAAGCCAATTTTCAAACAACTTAGATAGTAAGCATCAAATTGTTAAGATGAATACTTTTGCTCAATAATGTATAACAAAATATTGATCATTAGAGGGTTATAGATAAAAGACTTTTGGCCCCTCTTAGCCCCTAATTTGAAGGGTCAGCCCTATTTTTTTTTTTTTATCAAATGAAAGGTCTTGCGATGTTGCACATTTTGTCTTCAATATGTTTTAACAAATTATGAACAGGTGTGAAGATATGTGACAAAATGCGTCAAATTTTGTGAGTTATTTCTGAGACATTTTTTCGGCCCTACCGAACTTCGGCGCCTTTTGCGCTAGAAAGATTTGGAGACCCAGTTACAACTCACCAAACCTTCCTCTATTTTCCCTGAAAATCTCAAGTCCATATCTGAAGTCGTTTCGGAGGAGTTTCCCGGACAAGCCGACCCTCTGAAAATCAGAAAATCGTCCATATCTCACGACCGGAAGTGAGATAATCAAAAAGCAAAAAAACCTATCAAGATCAATTGAATATCTTTCAGATCTGAAAGTTTGGTAGAAATCGGACGAGCCATCTCTGAGAAATCGCTTGCACAAAATCGGTTGGAAGAATAATAATAATAACTAGAGCAAAGCTCGTTGCAAAGCAACGAGTAGGTCTTCCGTCCTGTTTGAAGTAACTTTAATTTTAACAATAATGAAAATAACGCGCCAAAATGCTTTAAATCCTCTAAATTATGTTAATTAATGCAAAAATAAGCCATTTTTCACTACTTCCGGTTTGACCGGAAGTAACGACGACGGACGGAAAATTAATTTTTAAGCTCCAAGAGACATATGTTGCCCCAAAACTGGTCAAGAACGGCAAAAATAAGCGTTTTTCGACTACTTCCGGTTTAGCCGGAAGTGACGACGCCAGACGTATTTTGATGACTTCATTGGATTGATCTTGACATTTTGAACATATTTGCTTCTTTGACATATTACAAATTCTCAATACTTTTTGAGATATAAAGAAAAAACTTTAGGCCCCTCTAGGCCCTTAATTTTAGGGGCCAGCCCTTTTTTCGAGATATCTTTTGAAAGATCGTGACATTCTCTATAATTTTTCTTCTATATGTTTTCACAAAATATTAACATGTAAAAAGATATTGCCAAAAATGTGTGAAAATTTTCTAAATTCCCGATTGGACTTTTTTCGAGCCATAGCGAGCGCCGACGTACTGCTCTTCCGGAGAATAAGAAAGGTGTGTGTCACATCAGCACATATTGCTCTATCATTGCTGAAAATCTTACGTTTCTATCTAAAAGCACTTTTGAGAAAAATGCTGGACAATGTGACCCTCTGAAAATCACTAAACTGCGGAAATCTCGAAACCGGAAGTGACGTCATAAAAATAACAAATTATATATCAGGTTTGATTGATGTTCCATCAGTCCTGAAAGTTTCATGAAAATCGACCGAGCCGTTTCCGAGAAATCGCGTGCACAAAATCGGTAAGAAAAAAAACAATAATAAAAATAATAAAAATAGTGGAAAAGAAACCTAAGAATAACAAGAAGGTCTTCCGCTGAAGACGGAAGACCTTAACTAGATGAGATCTCGTTGCGAGCAACGAGTAGGTCTTCCTTTGAATTTATCGATAAGATTAGATGTGATTTTGACTGAGATATTCGTTAAAAGAGAAGGACATTAAGTTTTCCTTCATTAAATTTAAAGTTTTTCATTTTTATCACGATATTCTGAACATCCTTTGTTCAATAAGGCTTATAAAAATATTCCTCCTTTTGGAGACATAAAGTATAAAAATATAGCATTTTGGTTCCTTGCGACTTCTAATTACGTAACATATAATCAAAATGTTATCATATATCGTTGCAAATCGTAAAGATGAATATTTTTGCCCCAGTAATGTATAACAAAATATTGATCATTAGTGAGTTATAGATAAAAAGAATTTTGGCCCCTCTGAGCTCCTAATTTGAGGGGTCAGCCCCTTTTTCTTGATATCAAATTAAAGGTCTTGTGATTTTGAAATTTTTTTGTTCAACACTTATTCAGAGACTTCTATTCAATGTGTAGATATGCTGAATGGAAATATTCAGGGGCCACCCCCTACAAGTCCCTAACAGGGCTGTTTTTCAAAAATTCAAAGTACGCATATTGCTTAGAACATTACTCTGACCATCTTTTGTTCAATATTGCCTATCAAAATATTCCCCCTTTTCGAGATATGAAACGTCAAAGATTTAGAATTCTGGCCCCTTGTGACCCTTAATTACGTAATATATGATCAAAATTTTATAATATATTGTTGCAACTCGTTCAGATGAATATCTTTGCTTCTGTAATGTATCACAAAATATTGATCATTAAAGAGTTAAAGATGAAAGACTTCTGGCCCCTCTGAGCCCCTAATTTTAGGGGTCAGCCCCTATTTCTTGATATCAAATGATAGGTTTTGTAAATTGAAAGACTTTTTGTTCAACATCTATTCAGAGATTTCTTTTCGTTATTGAAACTGAATTGAAATATTTAGGGGCCACCCCCACAGGTCCTTAATTGGGCCGTTTTACAAAAATTCAAAGTATGCGTATTGTTTAAAACATTATTCTGACCATCTTTTGTTCAATATTGCTTATCAAAATATTTCCCCTTTTCGAGATATGAAGCGTCAAAGATTTAGAATTCTGGCCCCTTGTGACCCCTAATTACGTAATATATGATCAAAATCTTATAATATATTGATGCAACTCGTTCAGATGAATATCTTTGCTTCTGTAATGTATCACAAAATATTGATCATTACAGAGGTAAAGATAAAAGACTTCTGGCCCCTCTGAGCCCTTAATTTGAGGAGTCAGCCCCTATTTCTTGATATCAAATGAAAGGTCTTGTAAATTCAAAGACTTTTTGTTCAACATCTATTCAGAGATTTCTTTTCGTTATTGAGATAAACTGAATTGAAATATTTAGGGGCCACCCCTACAAGTCCTTAATGGGGCCGTTTTACAAAAATTCAAAGTATGAGTATTGTTTAAAACATTATTCTGACCATCTTTTGTTCAATATTGCTTATCAAAATATTTCCCCTTTTCGAGATATGAAGCGTCAAAGATTTAGAATTCTGGCCCCTTGTGACCCCTAATTACGTAATATATGATCAAAATTTTATAATATATTGTTGCAACTTGTTCAGATGAATATCTTTGCTTCTGTAATGTATCACAAAATATTGATCATTAAAGAGTTAAAGATGAAAGACTTCTGGCCCCTCTGAGCCCCTAATTTGAGGAGTCAGCCCCTATTTCTTGATATCGAATGAAAGGTCTTGTAAATTCAAAGACTTTTTGTTCAACACCTATTCAGAGATTTCTTTTCGTTATTGAGATAAGATGAATTGAAATATTTAGGGGCCACCCCTACAAGTCCTTAATGGGGCCGTTTTACAAAAATTCAAAGTATGCATATTGTTCAAAACATTATTCTGACCATCTTTTGTTCAATATTGCTTATCAAAATATTCCCCCTTTTTGAGAAATAAAGCGTCAAAGATTTGACATTCTGGCCCCTTGTGACCCCTAATTACGTAACATATGATCAAAATTTAATCATATATTGATGCAAATTGTTAAGATGAATACTTTTGCTTCAGTGATGTATAACAAAATATTGATCGTTAGAAAGTTATAGAGAAAAGACTTTTGGCCCCTCTGAGCCCCTAATTGTAGGGGTCAGCCCCAATTTTTTGACATCAAATGAAAGGTCTTGTGATTTTGCACATTTTTTCTTCAGTATGTTTTAACAAATTATGAACGGGTATGAAGATATGAAACAAAATGTGTCAAATTTTGTGAGATATTTTTGAGACATTTTTCGGGCCCTACCGAGCTCCGGCGCCTTTTGTGCTAGAAAGATTTGGAGACCCAATTACAATTCACTAAACCTTCCTTAACTTTCAGTGAAAATCTTAAATCAATATCTTAAGTCGTTTCGGAGGAGTTTCCTGGACAAGCCGACCCTCTGAAAATCAGAAAATGGACCATATCTCACGACCGGAAGTGAGATAATCAAAAAGCAAAAAAACCTATCAAGATCAATTGAATATCTATCAGATCTGAAAGTTTGGTAGAAATCGGACGAACCATCTCTGAGAAATCGCTTGCACAAAATCGGTTGGAAGAAAAATAATAATAACTAGAGCAAAGCTCGTTGCAAAGCAACGAGTGGGTCTTCCTTCCTAGCGATAAGCAAAAGATTAAATGTTTCTGTCTAGATTGTCAACTTTGCTAACATTCTCTTTTTCGATTTGTCTCAGAAACCCTTACTTGAATTCTTTAATTTGGTGTGAGCATGAGGTCTAAAGGGTACTCTATCTAACAGCATTCTTGAAATCGTACCACAACAGTTAACTTCCAATATTATGACTTTTGATATCGGATATATCATGTTTGTGAAACGTGTCATACTACAGAAACATTAGTGTTTTGCTACATTACCATCTTAAAAATGGCTTTAAAATCATTTAATATACAATATAACTAGGTAAATAAAATAAACAAATTATATAATAATTCAAAAAATCCAAATGTATTTACAATAATGATGAACAATCTTCATTAGTTGCAATTAGTAAGTAGAACAATACTTTTATAATAAACGCACAGAAATGTGTTGTGTATGTTTCGAATTTGCAGCTTTCCACTAGCAACTGGTGATACCTCAATAGGAGTGTAAAATTCTCTGAAAGGTATATTGTAAACATATTACATATGGCTGTGTATTCTTTTTTAGCGGCTTTGGCGTAATGCAGCAATCACTAAATCAAGTACAAAGCTAAAAGTCTTGTACATAAACATAAATAAGAATATCTACGCTAACTTATTCAAAAGTCAATTTCCACCAAATATTGTACAAGCTAAATATAATACATTTACAGCATTAAAGAAACAAATCTCTTTGAAGGTATTGCCCTGCATAAGAACAATTTGAATCCCCTACACTAAGGATGCTCTGTGCCAAGTTTCACTTTGGTTCTGGAAAATGATATTGTGAAATTTTAGACAATGATGATAATGGATAAAATTATGTTTTTAAAAAATTTCCTGGTTCCTTTAGCTCAGATGGGCTAATAAATATGCAACAGGCACAGTTTTGCAGTTGACATTGAAATGCGACTGGACATCTCTTCAATCTTGTTTTAGAAAACTACATGTACATGCCCTATGTACTGAATTCCTTGGAATCATACACATGTTTATGCCTTTAATTAGTTGTATGTGCCAAAATAACAATTTTTTTTACATTATACTGTAAAAAATACACATACATGTATTACAAGATCTTCTATTCCTGCTGAAGACAGAGGATCTATCTTAATCATTAGAATAAGCAAGTCTAAACTTTGAAAGGGAAGACCTTAATAAAGAGGTCAACATGCTACACAAACAAAATATTATTATATTTAAAAATAACATTTATTCCAATGTAATTACTGGTACATGTATTTCTGTTACAAAAACTATTTCACTTGAAAAACTGAGAGCAATTGATATGTTCATATTTGTGGATTTATGTTGTCAAATCAAAATTAAAAAATGATACACGGTGTGTTTAAAAATTGTCTTCACAAACCAAAACTTGACTTATTTTCACTATGCTGTTTATTCCATGTCACATCCAAACAGATGATCTTCTGGCAAATCATGGTCATGCTTGGTATCAAAATTCAGTCTTCAGATGAGTCACACCTATCCAAAAGAAATTGAAATTTTTTAATCTATAATTCTTTTACTAATAAAAAGTGCAATTCATGAGATTATAAATTAGATTATCAAATTGAGAGATAAGATATTGTCACATTTTCTGTGTATAATTTGTAAATTTTAATGTACTCTTTCATCAATTAAAAGAAGTTTACACCAATTAAGGCAGTCATTTATGCTATTCCCTAATAAGACAACATACAAGTGCAAAGTAATCATGCACTAGTGCGTTTACGATAATGTGCTAGAGTATTTATGACAACATACTAGCACGAGGTGACAATGTGCTAGCATGTACGTCAGTGATAATATGCCAGCACACTGAATCCAACATGCAGTGAAGCTAACACTCAACAGATTGTTTAAAGTTGTGTTTGCATGATATTTTGTTTTGTGTAAACACAGCAGCGTGTTGTTTAAAGCTGCATTGGAGTGGCAGTCTGTTGAAATTAACATGCTAACACACTGCAACTTCACATCATTGGAACACCATAATTTTAAAACTGACAAACCAATATCTTATGATTACTAACTAGGTAATTGCAACTGTAAATGCTGATTTCATGGTGACAATAATACCGGTAATTCACTGTATATCTGAGAACTGATCAATTATAATAAGGCGTGTCCAGATAGGGCCACTTGCTAAAGCTCAATAGCACTTTCATAAAAGCGTGCCATCTTACCGACACAAAAGACGCCATTAGGCTATCACACAGCTCGCCATCACAACACAGAAAAACACTTTCGCACTAACACAAGTTCGCACCACACGCTGTCACACTAACACACAACACACTGTCACGCTAATACAATTTCACACAACAAAATATCAGGCTAACACGAGTTCACACAACACACTATCATGCTAACATGAATTCACAAACACGCTGTCTCGCTAACACAAGTTCACACAACACGCTGTCTCGCTAACACAAGTTTTACACAACACGCAGTCTCGCTAATACGAGCTGTTAGCTAGACACTGTCTAGCTAACACAAGTACACGCAACACACTGTCACGCTTAGATGAATTCACACAACACACTGTCACGCTAACATGAGTTTACACAACACGCAGTCTCACTAACATGCGTTTACACAATACACTGTCATGCTAACACGAGTTTACACAATACACTGTCACGCTAACACAAAGTCACAAAACAGGCTGTCTCACTATTCACTAACACAAGTTCGCACCAAATGCTGTTGCGATAACACACTGTCATCCTAATACCATTTCACACAACACACTGTCATTCTAATATCATTTCACACAACACACTGTCAGGCTAACACGAGTTCACACAACACACTGTCACGCTAACACGAATTCTCAAAACAGGCTGTCTCACTATTCACTAACACAAGTTCGCACCAAACGCTGTTGCGATAACACACTGTCATCCTAATACCATTTCACACAACACACTGTCATCCTAATACCATTTCACACAACACACTGTCAGGCTAACACGAGTTCACACAACACACTGTCACGCTAACACAAATTCAAAAAACATGCAATATGGCTAACACGAGTTCACATAACACGCAGTCTGGCTAACACGAGTTCACACAATATGCAATCTTGCTAACACGAGTTCACACAACACACTATCTCTCTAACACCAGTTCACACGACAAATTTTCAGGATAACAAGTTCACACAACACACTGTCACGCTAACACGAATTCACACAACATGCTGTCTCGTTAATAAGAATACACACAACACGCTGTCTCGCTAACACGAGTTTACACAACATGCAGTCTCACTAACACCAGTTTACACAACACGAAGTCTCGCTAATACAAGTTCAATCAACACTCTGTCTAGCTAACACGAGTTTACACAACACACTGTCACACTTACACTTTATACACGATTTTACACAACACGCTGTCCCGCTAACACGAGTTTACGCAACACATTGTCAAGCTAACAAGAATTCACACAACCCACTGTCAGGCTAACACAATTAAGTTCACAAAACACACTGTCTCGCTAACACAAGTTCACACAACACACTCACATTGCTGAGTTTAAAGTAAAGGTCTACCCTAATTTGAAGAGGTTTAAAACTAACATATCTCTATATTAGTAAAAAGCTTCAAATTTAAGACAAAAACATTTATGCAGTAATGTTCCTTAACATGCATCTGGCATATAAAATGAATGAGACCTTAAAAACCTCACAGTACATGTTTACTTAGCTAATTAAAGGTCTAAATTGATGCTATTGAACAATATATATCAACATCTCTAAGTATGTGAATGAGTGAAATTCTCAAATAAATATTATAAATCAAAGTATCAATAAGAAGCTGAACCTTACGTTGCAGGTTCCAATCCCATTGCTAAATGCTTTAGACAGGTTACTCCTATGAGACTGCATAAACCAAGATTCTGTGTCACGGTAGGTGTTAGCACAAAATGGATCTCATACTTCTTAAAGGCAATAAGTGCTGAGTACAAGTCTATATTTGCAGCTAATACCATCCCAAGTGGTGGCACCATGAAATGACTGAAAAATGTATGATTAAGGCAAATAAACAAACATTAAACCATTACAGCAGTCTTATGAAACAAAAATTCAAACTTTCTATTATTTCAATTTTTTTAAACAAATTTCTTTTGCAATTTAACTGAGCAATATTTGTCCTTTTTTGTCAGTAAAGTATGATATTAAATAATTAAGACTTTTTGAGAACATCTATTTATAGCGAGTCCAGAAAGCAGCACAAATCCCTGCCCATAATGCGAGCTCTTATGATAAGACCTTGGCAAAAGAAGATTGTGACTTGCACATTGCTCCACACAATTTTTCCGCAGTATACTTTGGACACACAGTGCTTAGCTTCTTTAACATGTTTAAGCTACATTCAAAATTCATTTCTATTTAATTTGAATTAGCTATCCTTACTCATGTTCACATGGAGCTAATGGGAAGTAACTTAACGAGCAGTGAATTCATTCGAATTAAACATTTGAATAAACTCTCAGTGTGAACATTGAGCATGGATGCACCAAATGTCAAATGCGGCTTGACAAGCACAATCTAAATTAAAACTAAATAAGTATCTGCCCTCACCCTTACAGTCACACTGTCAATATATAATTAGTTGAATATATTCTGTAACATTAAGTGCAGTTTGAATTATAGAGTATGATCACTATGATAGATAGTAGGACTGTTGAAATTACATCCTCAAATTTAAAAAAAATAAAATATAAAGCTGTGGGGATTTACAAGGCAAACAGAGAGCGTCTGAACTGTAAAACAGATAATATATGGGTGTGTCTGTGTATTTCTAATAACATCAATGTACGTCACTGTCATGTAATCAGTAGTGTAAATTTTAAGTAATAAAAATATTCTAACCTTTATTCCAATGGTCCAAGCCAATCATACATTAAAATGTCGCCGTCAGCTCTTTCATCACTCGATAAAATTATCACTGGGGAATCCGAAGCAGAGTCAAGAGTGTTCATCCTTGTTAATGTGACAGTCAGAATTTCCTCGTAAACAATTCACACAAGATTCTTAGAATATATGAATCGGGATAATTCTGCTTAGAATAATGTTCCAGAGAAGTGACAAAGTACTTCGTAGCTCCAGATTAAATGAGTGTGCATGTCTACAAACGGATTCATTGTGAGAAAATGTTCAACTTCACAAATCATTCCATTTTCAGTTTGTAAACCATGACAAACATGTGTCCGACGTCGACTCGAAGGGGCACACTAAAAACGGGATATACTAGAGACCTGATATTTACCTGACGTTTTTATTTTTAATTAAATGGTAATATTGAGTATTTTAAATTACTTATGTACAGACTTTATGACTTCGAGGCATATGCTATACAAAAATTCAATTGTTTGGAACATTTACAGACAAATTTGAATCAGGTCAAATAAGTGTTTAGTACATCGCGTCTTTAGTACCTTCCTATTTCCCACAATGCCGCGCGTTGTTTACAAACAAGCGCGAAAAAATCCTCTAAACTAGGTACTATTTATTGTTGTGTACATCATCACATTTTAAAATTATTTGAATAAAAAGAAAACAAAGAAACACCGAATCAAAACTATATCTTTTAGATGCATCAACTAAAAATGTGCACATGTATGCAGTAAAGGCTTGGCTGGCTATAGTAGACAACTTGTTCCTGAAAGGTTTCTCACATACATGTACTTGTTTTATATAAAAAACAACTAAATATAGCTGGAAGTTTATTTCTTTTTATATCAAATGACAAGATTTTATAAGTTCGAAATTATTTCAGTCAAACTTTTTCATAATATACCAATATTTTTAGCTATCAGAAAAAACGTGTATGAGCTATTAACCCCTAATTATAGGGGCCAGCCCCTTTTCATTAATCTAATATGAAAGCTCTCGTAATTACACACAACTTTTGTGATATATTTCTTACCAAATTATTCTCGGTTCAAAAGTTATTACACAAAAAGTAGCAAAAATTCAAGAAAAAAAATTACTAAAATTTGCCGTTTTATAGCTTCCAAACTTTAGGAAATCAGCTTATAATTTTATCGTTCTGCACATCTACAATGTATTGGCTAAAAGTTCTCCAACTTTCGTTTAAATATCTTACGTCGTTTTTGAGATTTTTAGTGGAAACGAGACATCAAAATTATCAATTAAAGGGCAATAACTCACAATTAAAGGCATGCATCAAGAAATTGAAAACAGGTGTAAATAGGTTTAATTACAAGGTATCTAACCTGAAAGTTTCATAAAAATCAGTCCAAAGGTCTTTGAGAAATCGCCTGTCAAAAATCGAGCGGGAAAAAAAAATAAAATAATAATAAGAAACAGTAGAATAACAATAGGGTCTTCCGAAGGAAGCGGAAGACCCTAATAATAATAACTAGATGAGATCTCGTTGCGAGCAACGAGTAGGTCTTCCGTTCGATTTTTGATAAGGTTCTAAAACAACTTTAAATGAAAAAAAGTGTTAAGATCAATTATTCAAAATACGTGAGAACACATCTAAGAGTGAAATCTATCAATTTCAAACAACTTCCGGTCTTTATAATTCACTTCCGGTGTGACCGGAAGTTCTTAAAATGACCTATAACTCCTTTCTGAGTGTGAAGGAATCATCCCTGATTAATTTCGAGGAAAAATGCTCATTTTTTGGACTACTTCCGGTTTGGAAAAAATAACTTCCGGTGGACATAATATTACATGAGACACTCTATTTGCCTTCATAAGAAACATTTTAAAAAGAAAAAAATAAAATTTTGCATATTTTTAAACTACTTCCGGTGGACGACGGACGCAACGGCAACAAAAACCATATATCCTTCTCAAATCTAGGAGTCATAATCTATCATCCCTGAAAGTTTCAGGACCCAATCTCCAACCGTTTTCGAGAACACTCTCGGACAAAATGAATCTTTGAAAACAGAAAAATGGCTATATCTCGCGACCGGAAGTGACGACGGCAAAATAAAAAAAAATGCATGAAGTTCAAATAGTTTCCTATCATTGCTGAAAGTTTCATGAAAAACTGTCGAGGCGTTCTCGAGAAATCGTCTGCACAAAATCGGTAAGAAAAAAAAGAATAATAATAATAATAGTGGAAAAGAAACAACAGAATCAGTAGAAGGTCTTCCGTTGGAGACGGAAGACCTTAATAATAATAATAATAGGGAAAAAGAAACCGAACGAAAACAATAAGGTCTTCCGTTGGAAACGGAAGACCTTAATAACTAGATGAGATCTCGTTGCGAGCAACGAGTAGGTCTTCCGTCCGATTTTTCGATAAGATATGATTTTGACAATGATCTTTGTTAAATCATAATGATATCAAGACTTCACTCCTTTGATTAAATTCTTTTACGTTCTACTATAAAATTATTAAATACATGTTGTTAATTATCATAATAGATGAAAGTCTTTTGGCCCCTAAGGGCCCCTTATTTGAGGGGTCAGATCCTTTCTTCCTATCAAATGATCAGGTTTCTATTTTAAAGATTTTTTGTTCAACTACTAATAAGATATTTCTTTTCGTTCTCGCGCTATGAAGGATAGAAAAATTTAGGGGCCAATCCTTTATATCCTTAATGGGATGTTTTTGCATATATAGAATGATTGTATAATGTTTAAAAGACAACACTGAGCATCTTTTACTCGATATCGCTTATCAAAATATTTCCCCTTTTGGAGATATAAAGAATCCAAGAATGAGCATTTTGGTCCCTTATGACCCCTTATTACGTAACATATTATCACGATTTTACAATGCATTGATGCAGATTGTTATGATAAACATTTTCGTTTCAGTTATTTATAACAAAAAATTGATATATAAAGAGTTATAGATGAGAGACTTTTGGCCCCTGTTTGCCCTTTATTTGAGGGGTTACACCCCTTTTCTTTATATCAAATGATAGAAAATCTAATTTTGAACACTTTTTATTATCTATCTTTTAACAAATTATTGACAGGTATCAAGATATTCAGAGAAAACGTGTTAAATTTTGCGAGAGATTTCCGAGCCTATTTTTCGGCTCAGGTGAGCTTCAACGCCTTTTGCACTGGAAAGATATAGACTCAAAAAAGCAATTCAGCAATCCTTCCTCTACCTTCACTGAAAATCTCAAGTCAATATCTTCATTCGTTTTTCAGTGATTGCCAGGACAAGCCGACCCTCTAAAAATCAGTAAATCGTCTATATCTCACGACCGGAAGTGACGACGTACATATAAAAAATTTCCAATAAGGTTCAGACCAATGTCTATCAGATCTGAAAGTTTCGTGATAATCGACCCAGCCGTTTCCGAGAACTCGCGTGCACAAAATCGGTAAGAAAAAAAAAGAATAATAATAATAATAATAATAGGGAAAAAGAAACCGAACGAAAACAATAAGGTCTTCCGTTGGAGACGGAAGACCTTAATAATAACTAGAAACGATCTCGTTGCGAGCAACGAGTAGGTCTTCCGTCCGATTCCGAAAAATAACCCATAAAATAGGGCTGAAAATGGATGAAACATATTTTGGACACACTGGTAATTGAAACGGGTCACTAGTGTGAAAATCCAATACGCTTATCGATTACGCTATTTGAACAACTACTCTTACTTCACTTGTTTGTACATATAATTCTGCAACATTTAATCTGTCTTGGAATTATGAAAGAAGGGTCACTATTCATAATTTCGCGCCAAACGCATCGAGTAAATCTTAGCGAATTTCTCTTGGAATGTTCATTTAAATAGGTGAGATAGCTTCAATCAAATAACAAAAGAGCGTTCTTATCGCCTAAATTTTGAGGTGTGGAAAGTATAACACATACATGTACCATATCGTATATAGGCAAATAACACTAAAGCAGTGAAACAGCTATGAATGGTTAATTTTTCATTTTCAATCACGAAAGTTGACTATTCCGATTACTTACACTTTCATGAAAAAGGTGGTGTGTTTCACCGAGAAAAAAATGCCTCGACCGCCCTACGAGGGTCTAAAAATAAGATTCCAATATGTTCAATAACTTGCATTGAGAAAATAAAATGTTTATATAGGCCAATTAAACTGTCTTTGAAAAATTGTTATCTTTAAAAATAAAATATTTTCTTATTGTAA